TTAATACAAGCTACACGGAAGAAGCCATGATGGTGCACCTTTACTTCTAGTTATGCATGCATACACTCCCATCAAAATCCAATGTAAACAAAACCCACTTTTAAAAGCAATCCCTGTCCTCTGAAAAATTCCCCCATGTCACACCTTTTCTTTCAGTGAGCATAGTGTGCATAAAAATGCTAGTGTAAACAAAGAGTCCTTGAGCTGTAAAAGATCAGAGGGAGGGAGAGAGAGAGAGAGGTGGAGGAGCATTGGGTGATGGAGAGAAAGTACAAGGTCCAATCACATAATTGTACACCCCCCCCCTCCATGTGACCTCACAGAGCCCCTATTATGCTATACGGCTCCCCCCTCCCCCCTTTTTTCCCCTATCATTATTTTCTGTTGTTAGGTAGGGGTGTAATAATTAATTAATACAAGCTACACGGAAGAAGCCATGATGGTGCACCTTTACTTCTAGTTATGCATGCATACACTCCCATCAAAATCCAATGTAAACAAAACCCACTTTTAAAAGCAATCCCTGTCCTCTGAAAAATTCCCCCATGTCACACCTTTTCTTTCAGTGAGCATAGTGTGCATAAAAATGCTAGTGTAAACAAAGAGTCCTTGAGCTGTAAAAGATCAGAGGGAGGGAGAGAGAGAGAGAGGTGGAGGAGCATTGGGTGATGGAGAGAAAGTACAAGGTCCAATCACATAATTGTACACCCCCCCCCTCCATGTGACCTCACAGAGCCCCTATTATGCTATACGGCTCCCCCCTCCCCCATTTCTTTCCTTTTCCCGTAATCATCACTCCTCATTCACTGCTCCGGCCTCGGCGCAAACCTTCACATCTCTACGAAATTTGCGATCACAAACACACAAACGTATATATTTTAGAGAGAGAAAGTAGTCTCTCTCTCTCTATAGAGAGAGAGAGAGAGGGAGAGAGAACAGTTGTAGCTGGCAAGATATTGTGGCCATATCCTTTAGGTTTGCGTTTACGTATTACGTACGTACATCCCCTATAGTCTACAGTAGTACTAGATGCGTGTGAGGATTGTTTTAACATGTTGCAAACTAATTTATTTGCATGCAATATATATTATGCAAAACTACATGCCGGGGGAGGAGAACGACCCCCATCGAACATTAATTATATATATTATATATCCAAGGGGATTCGTTGGTCATGTAGATGTGAATTGTGATGGGCCGATCGACGGCACAATTGTTCCTCGAGCTCGTTATGGCTCTCTTTATTTATGAGAGGCGCCTTGAGTTTGATGTGTGTGTGTGTGTGTTTTCGGCTGCACATCATTTCATTTCATGATCTCTCGTGCGTACGTACAATTGGCTTGATGGCTCCTTTTCCTTAATTCTTACGTGCGTGTTAGATGTGTAGATCTTTGCCTACGGCTACGGAGAGAAAAATTAAAAAAAAAAAAGGCCTAGGTTTGCGTATGTAGCTTTCGTTAGGGGGCGGCTAATGTGTTCGTGATAGGGTCTAGGTTTTATGTGCTTCGGCTCCCTAGCTGTTGATCAAGTGGTTGTGGGAATATGATTTGCTTAGATTCTTAATTAATTAATCAACTGGCTGGGCCTTTTAGCCTTTTTAGGTGTTAACTCATCAGTGGTACGTAATATTTTTTTGTGTGACGTGGTTGGATTTGGATAAGGATTGTAAAATTGTATATTTGGGGTTGCAAAAAATATCCATGTTCACGGATACGTCCATGTTTGTACTCGTTAGAATACCGTCGTGATCACTGAATATTTATATTCATTAATTGGGATATGATTATGAATATATACATACATATATAGTTAAATGTTGGAATATATATTGATCATACATTTGCAATTACTTTGATTCCTAGCTTAGCAGATTTGGGGTTAATTTTGATATTTAAGGGATCTAATCTTAGGTTTTCGGATGTAATCGTATTAATGAACTCTCTTATAATCTAAACTAATCTTTTCAATCTTGTATGGTGTTTTTCTCCTGTATGTTTTATATCCACATGTGACATGCGCGTATATATATGTACTTGTATTCAAATTTGAGAGATGTAGATACAAATTTTTCTTACGGTGACATATTTGTACACACATTCATATCCATAATTAATAAACCAATGCGAATATGATAAATATTATATCTGAGACGGATCAGAGCCAATTGCACCCCTAATCAATGCTCAACAAAATTGCATAATAATAGAAGGAGACGCAACACGTATGGAGTAAAGGGGACATATTAGATAAGAAGATGAGCACATGATTCAAAAAATACATTGATCATATGAAAAGAACCATCTAAGCAAATCAGACTTCTCAAATCAAAATTAATTGGACACGGGTAAAAATCTAGAGACTTCTGAACGAACAAAATTCATTTGATTTTCAGATATATAGAGTTCCATCAACTGATAAATCATTTAGTAACTCTAATAAATTATCTTGATTAAAAAATTACTAGCTAACTTGTCACCTTAAAAGTGAACTAAACTGTCCTAATCCCAGGTAACATTTCTTCCTTAAACAAACAAGCTTAACTGCATAAACCTTATTTAATAAATGATTCACCTAATTACGTAAGCACCAAATATCTCTAAATCTAGAGAGAGAAAGGGAGGGAAAACAGAGAGTGAGAAAGGGACAGATAGAGACATTCCCAAGGGCCCACCACTTTACCCAGCTTTTCTGACTGCAATTCCTTTTTTCACAGACAAGAAAGAGAACTATTATAAAACCACCCCTCATTTTTCTTAAAATTGCACCTCCCTTCGATTCTCTAGCATCCCACTATCAGAGCAACAGGCCAAAGAGAGTGCAGATAAATTGCTAGCTTCAATAATGGTAGAGAGAGAGAGAGAGAGAGAGAGAGAGAGAAGGAACAAAAGAGTGGAGATAGACTTGCAGTAAAATTTTTTTGGGGGTTCATTAATCGAGGCAAAGAGAACTAGCAAAGCACTGAGTCAGGGAATCAAAACCCACAACTAGACTAGCATTGAGAGGTGCAATCCATCCACATCAATTAAGGCTCAAATATTATTCTCCTTTACCCCCTTCTTTGTTTCGTATCAGGGGCTGTTTAGTTAATTTACTAGAACCCAAGTTTGAGAGATTATTCACGAGAAAATAGATCGTCAGACCTATTTTCATATTTTTAAATTTATTTCATGACTTCTTGATAACAAATGAGTTTTCTTAAATTTGAGACTCATGATGCTATTATCTTAGAGTAGTGCTAGGGGCACACCCCCAACCACACCCTCCACCACACCTCCTCTCCCTCTATAGTGCATTGGGTCCCACAGCAAATTTTTTAAAAAAATTTGATGTGGAGCCCAATGCACTATAGAGGGAGGGGAGATGTGGTTGAGATTGTGTTTGGGGGTGTGCCCCTAACATTTCTATATCTTACCAGTGAGTATGTCTCATATGCACATCTCTTTTTTCTCTCTCAACACAAAAAAAAAAGTAAATCAAACACCTTCACATGGGTGTGTCGGGTGTTTTGATTTCCTTTTCTTAGTTTTTCAGAAAACCAAACGACCCCTTAATGTAGGCATTTGGCAATCAATGAAACTATAGTTTTCTGTTTACACCCATTCGTTGTCCTTATTTTTATGTGACCCCTTTAGCCAAAAAAATACAGTGCAAAACGATCTGATCTGAAGGAAGACGTTCCCTTGCCTTGGTAGACTCAAGAAATTAAGGACCGTGGAGGGTTAGAAATTATATTCCAATACATTTCCTCAAGGTTTTTCTCATAGTCTTAAGAGAAAATCCTACATAAATTTGTTAAAAGTCTCTCAAAGATCATTGCCGCAGCTCAAAACTCTGAAGTTTTGAAGAATGTTATAATTCTATGTATCTCCACATGTTTATTGTCCTTTCGCAGGCTAAATTTTAGACTAAACAGAATAGTGTCTCTACGAGAAAGCACCTGGGAAAAAACTTCGACGATCAAAGGCGGTAAGAAAAACTTCACCCTAAATTAGTTTAGGGCAAATTTCACAAACCACTTGAACTTTGGAGTGATTGCGACAAAACACCCATGAAGTTTTATTTACTCCTTTAAGCCTACTAAACTTTGGGTGTCCCCTTGACTTCCTCAACATCTCTCAACTTTCTTCTCACTTTAAAATGACGAAAAACAAAAATGCACATAGAAACAAATTGTCGGCTGCGGATGAGGGGGTCCGTCGCCTATAAACGTCAAAATGACTAAAATTGGATATGTTTCTCGCAATGTATTTTGCTATTTTGGCATTCAACGATAGAGGATTTGCTGAGAAAAGTTGAAAATTTTAGGAGGCCATGCGAGACACCTGAAAGTAAAGGTTTTAGCGCAACAAATTAACCAAGTTCAAAGGGGTTTAATGGCAAAACCTAAGGGTGTGGTTTATGAAATTTACCTTTAGGGTGTGTTTGGCAAAGTGAACAAAACTGGGTCCTGACTCAGTTTCGTACTAAACCAATTTTCTTTCGGATTGGACCCCCGGTCCAAAAGAAAACCGGTTTAGTGGCACTAGCCAAATAAGAAACAAGTTAAAATTGGGTCAGATTCAGTACCGATCCAATTTTAACTTTTTTGACAAACACACCCTCACATTATACATACATTCCCCTCATTTATGACAACTTCTGTAGTACTGCTACTAGTGGGTGCTACTCTCCTCTCCCCCTTCAATTCACTACCTATGTGTTCAGTGGTGCTGGCACATTGTGCATCAAAACCGAGATTAAATTTCTATCTCCCTCGCTCTTTACTCAGATATACTACTACTACTGCTAACTCTTACTTCCCTGTGGCTGTGGTTACATTGGGAAGGAAAAGATCGTAGCCCTCTGCAACCCCTGCGCGTGAACCCCTCAAATACTCCCAAAAATAATGCCTTTTTGCCCTCTAAATTCACCACCACAACTTGCCATGCACTACAACAACAGTCGCATTTTAATAATTGACGAAACTGCAACATAGGATTTTTCTGCAAACAAACACCCTGCTCCTCTTCTGCTCCTCAAAAAATTTGCTACAGTCTTGAGCCAGCACAAAATCCGGGAGCTCATCAAAAAGAGAAAAAAAAAGAGACAAAATGCTCGTATACTCAAACTCAAAAAGCCTAGTTCCCCCTCAAAAAGCAAATCTTTTCCTAATTACAATTTACCATGATGAAGAGATAACCACCTAACAAAAACCCTAGTGAGCTTGCCCTATTTATTTTGTCCTCCTCCTCCTCCTCCTCCTCTCTCTCTCTCTCTCTCTCTCTCTCTCTCTCTTAAGGTATCAATGGAGGCGAGAAACCCTTCATGCTTTCTTGGATTTGGGGAAGGAATCTCTCATCTCTTGCCTCCTCCTCCTTTGCTTTTGCCTCCTCCTTCCACTCATCAAGCAAACAACAATGGTGAAGACTTTGATAGCAGCCTCATCAAGGCCAAAATCATGTCTCACCCTCACTATCCTAAGCTCCTCTCTGCTTACATCAACTGCCAAAAGGTACCCCCAAAAAAAAATACATAAAAATAAAAACTTCAAGAAACCCAAAAAAAAAAAAAACCCTAACCCTAACCTTGCTTTTCTTGGTTCTTGGCGCAGGTTGGGGCTCCACCTGAGGTGGTGGCTAGGCTAGAGGAGGCTTGCTCATCATCCTTGATGATAGGGAGAGCTGCATCATCTTCATCTTCAGCCTCAGTTGAGGGGGACCCAGCTCTTGATCAGTTCATGGAGGCCTACTGTGAGATGCTCACCAAATACGAGCAGGAGCTCTCAAAGCCCTTTAAAGAAGCCATGCTCTTTCTCTCAAGGATTGATGCTCAGTTCAAGTCTCTCTCCCTCTCCTCATCCTCTACAAGCTCCCTTAACCCAGGTTTATATACACTACTTAATTATTTTTTCTTTTGTTAATTAATTATTTCTGGGTCTATAAGTATTGTTTAATGTCATGTGCATGTGGGGTTTGTGCTTTTAATACTCTCCCTTTTTCTTTAATTAATCTCTTGTTGTTCCAAGAAGCATGGGAATTCTCATACGTAGATTTCTTTTTTTTTCTCTTTAAAGTATTAGAATAATAAATGTTCACAAATTAAGTTCCTTTGACATTACTTAGAAAGGAGTGGCTTTGATATTCCTTATGGGTGAGAGTTGTGTCCTTTAAAGAGGAAGATTTGAATGTATATTTAGTTTTCTGAATGATTATTTTTGGTAAAAAAAGATAAATTATTTAAAACATGAGAAAGCGACTGTACGTTCTGGTAGTTTACTGTTTTTGTTTTCTTAGAAGATCACATGAAAACGACTAGTTGTTTTATAAGGCAATGTTCTGAGGTGAAGTTGAATGTTTAATTTTCTTTTTCACAAGAGGGATTTAGGGTTTTAAAAATAAAAAACTTCACTGTTTAAATTTAATGTTTAATGTTGCGTTGTGGTAGATCATTATGATATCAGAACATGTAATTTTTTTGACCCAGTTTATTTTCACTTGCTGTGATGATATCTTAGATGATACGAATGTGGATTTAGTTGTTTCACTTTCATATGAAAGTAGATTTTTTGTTCTAATACTTTGATGGCATTATTGTGCTTGATTTTTTTTATTATCATATATTTTGGTGCTGAATCATATTGTATGTTAGGTACATGTTGTGCTTTGAAACTCAGATGATCACCATGAAGATTTTTTCTACATAAGCGCCAACATTTTTCCATGCCTTGTGAGCAAAGAGCTTGGTCCAGTTTATAATATGTTTAACTTACGTTTAGCTGTTTTGTAGGATTAGTTGGTTATAAACATAAGATCGCTAATAGTATACTTTTCAAGAATGAGTAGACACTAATTTGATAATATGATAAAAAGCCATTTTTACTATTAAAAGGGAGTTTAAGAGAATTGAAAGATCCAATGTTTTGGGATTTACATCATCCATCTTTGACAAACTAAAGGTTAAAAGTGGAAACCATAGAGACTATTAATGTACCTGTAGATAATATTTTATGTAAATATTTCTAATATATTCTTGAAGAAAACTTTCTATTCCCTGATAATATTGCAATATAATGGTTCTTCTAGGAAATTGCTTCTAAGGTTTATCATTTCAGAATCTTATAGGCAGAAAGGCAGGCATTTAAAATGCATTTTTTTGCAGTTTTTCATTGACGTAAGAAGCTTGTTCAAGAAATTAGGAGACTGTCAAATGAAGGTTTAGAAAAATCTGCATTTTCTATGTAGATCGGTCAGCTAGTGAAATAATTTATTTAATCTGATGGTTTTTGTTTTCTCCCTTTTACCTTTTGAATCTCTAACCTTTGACATTTCACATTTTGTATTTTTTTACTATCAAGTGTTCAAGTTTTGCAGATACTTGGTAAACAATATATGAGTTTAAGCATGTTAATTGCGCAAAATCACTCATTATCTGCATGTTTCTCTTTGTCATAATAATGATTAATAATAAGGGTTTTTTGTGGAAACCACCTAATAATTAGGGTGATTGTATAGGAGGCACCTACAGTTTCCAATTTATATGAAAACCACCTAAAATTATGTTTTACCTTCAATCAACCACCACGATCGTTTGTTGACTTTTTGACCAAATTTCTGATAATATCTTTGATAATTTTCAGGAAAAACATGCTTGGCGTGTGCCCTCATTAAGGGGATTAATGGAAATTAGGTCAAAAAGGCAACAGAAATTGGACGTGGGGGGTTGATTGAAGGGAAAACATACGTTTTAGATGGTTTTAGTAAAACTTAGAAATTTTAGGTGGTTCCTACATAAACATCCTATTTATGAGATGGTTTCCATAAAAAATCCTAACAATAATGATAATATAAAAAATAATAACTTAATAATTATACTAATATGAAAAAGGGTGATATTGCAAGTAATAAAAAATTCTACTTTGGTAGGATCTTTATGAATATGATTTATCTACATTATTGTGCATGATTTTTTTTTATGAATTTGTAAATTAAATTTCTAAAAATGTCTTTTCTACAGGTATTATTTTGATTATCTGAGTGTATTTACAATTGCTTGTGTAGAGACTGTATTTATCAACGTAAATTCTTTCTATACATTTCCTTTAAAAAGAATTATTTTTATATGAAAAATCCTGAGTCATTTAAGTACCATGTATTTTAACATGTGTGTGCATGCCTAATATATTGTTAGTGGAAATCAGTTATTATAAATTTAGATTTTGCTAAGTGGCCTCTTGGTTAGTTGTGATCAGTTTTTTGTCAGCATGCAGTTCATCTATTCTGACACATCTTGGCATTTTCTGGGTGAAAATCGGATATAAATTGTGTGTTTGATTCTTATGTTTTAGTGAATTTTCACTTATGCCTAATTGAGGTATTATGCGAATGTGGTCACATATTTAATTTCATATGGTGTTTGGAATGCAAAGTTGGGATGAGGAGGTAGTAGTTCTTAAGCAGTTGGGTTTTGAATTAAGGTCATTGCCATTAATGAGATCTTGCAGCTTTTGTACATTGTGAACCTATTTTGCAGACAAGTAACCTTAAAGCCAAGGTTGTAGTCCAAATAGGTCGGATCTAATGTAAACAGAATGTGATTTAAGTTTTAACTAGAGTATGGATGATATACTAAGTGGATGGGCAACGGTGAGTCCATTTTGCACTACTTTGACAATCTCCTCAAGCTAGATCGTAAATGATACTTGGAGGCAATCCAATCATTTTGATGATTGAAGCATTTAGGTTATCAAAATCAAACCCGTAGCCTTATTTGAATCATACCAGTAAATGACCACTCCTGATACCCACTAAGAAATCCGAATTTCAATGGAACACGCCATTCTTTTATCTGAATCCAGTTTCTATTCTTTTATGTAAGTTTTTTTATTTGGACAACCAGTAAATCCAAGTTGGATTTGATCTTTTTACAGCCATAGATAACTCTGTTAAGTGTTAGAAGTCCCCAAAATTTTGGTTTAAATTCCAAGTTATTGCCTAATATTGGTAGTTCATATTCATAGCACATAATATATGATTGGAAGGCTGATTTGTAGGTCACAACATCTTAAATAAACACGACAATACATATTCTTACTCTGGGTATGTAGCTTAGCACATGTTGATATGCTCCTACGCGTCGTTTGGTATGCCAGAATGGGTGAGAATGGAATGCCCATTCCCATTCAT